TGACATGACCTTCTGCTCCAATGGGCTCCTGCAAGTGCCTCATCCATGRAGCTCACCTCCCTGCAGCACCCTGAGAACACCGAGGGATTCCCCAGCAGAGCAAACTGTACATTTTTAGGGTGTTCTGCAAGATTCTAGATATTCTACCAACCCCTACYAGGCCTAAAACCTCAATTATTTAAAGAAAGTGACTCAGAACAACTGTCTACCTGTCGGCAGACATCTCTTTTATGTGAAGACACTCAAGAGAAATACATGGATGAAGGTGATGATGAGCACTATCTGCTCCAAGCACACCACAGAAAATGAGCTTTCCCTTCCCCAAATGTTCCCTGATATTATTAACTTATAACATGACACACACACGTTTTGGGCTTTGCTGGGAAGGGTGGAGGAGCTCTAAAGGGAGCTGAGGGGCTGGAGCAGGAGGTGCAGGATGGGCTGAAGGCACTGCAGATAGTGCTGGTTGTTCCCTCATCCCCCCTTGCAGTGGGGCTGGGGSAGGCTGTGCAGCTGGACATTCCTTGCCAGGGCTGGGCACACATTGTGGCAGCAGGGCACACATTATTYCTGCCACCCTGCACAGCAGAGGCTYGTTCCTGCTGGTTCCCCMGAAATCCTATTACAGGAATCAAAATCCACAGTGAGCTGCAAAGTTATTTCCTTTTGGTTGTGCCCCAGATCAAACTAACAGCAGGAATTTGAGCTGTGTGTTGAGCAAACATTAGTGAGGAACCCACAGCAGCYCAGCCCCATCACCTGCTCGGGGAGCTGGTGGGCACTGGAGAGGGGCAGCCTGAGGGAACAGGCAGTGTGTGGCATTCCCTCAGACACAGCAGAGGTGCTGGTGAGGCCAGGCAGGGCTCCTGAGCCCCGTTTCTGAGCTGAGCAGAGCCCTGCAGGGTTCCTGAGCACAGATATTCATGGGGTGCAGAACCAGGGTTGTGCAGCTGCAGCTGGAAGCCCCTGCCAGCACCATCCTGAGCTCCACAGGCAGGGCTGCACTGGGGTGTCACAGGCTGTGTGTGAACTGCATGGGCTGCAGGGCCTCTCCTGAACTCCCTCAGGAACTCCCTCATGCACCACAAACTCCTCTGCTGATTAACCCCTGAGCTGCCTGGATGGAGGGCCAGGCTGAAACACAGCCGAGCAATCCTCTGCTACAGCATCAGAATCTCTGCACCAACTTTGCTTTTTTAATCCCTCACTGTTTTATTTAGGAAAAAGCAAGCTGTCACTCAGTGCCCTGCAGGCTTAACCCAGCTGCCTGCAGCACCCAGGTGCCAGGGAGTCCTGTGTCACACCCACCCACCCACATGTCCAGGAGAGGACAGAGGGACAGTCACCTGTGCTTTGGTGCCACACCACGAAGGCAGCAGCTCCCCAAGCAGCACCAACACCCTGTGCCAGCCCATCCCAGGGTGGCAGCACCAAACACCCAAGGTGGTGGGGTTCTGTGAAGCTGGGTGACCATGTCCCCATGGTCAGTGCAGGTCCCTACAGCTCTACCAGCCACTGCCATCCTCCTGCCTGCACCCCAGGGAGGGCACCACAGCGAGAAGGGATCGCTTCCCTTGATCCCTTCCATAGCTGGGGGACCACAGACCCYAAAGCTGCACCCAGCCCAGTGTGACAGCCCCAGGACAAGGCTCCCATGCAGGATCCTCTGCTACAGTGCTGCCACAGCAGCTCCACCCTGCCGGAGAGGGGGTCTTGTAATCCCTTGGTGTCCATGGGTAAAGCCTGTCCACGATGATGAAAATCACGAGAGAGCAGAAAGGAAACCCAATGCCTGCTCGAGCTCTCAGAGAAGTGAAATTTCCCATCAGCATCCCCCTCCCAGTAGGGTTTGCCCCCTGCACCCATGGCAGGAGGGGATGGGTGAGCYRGTGACAGTGGGGACAGCCYCAGCCAGGCTGTCAGGCTGCAGGGAAAGGGGATCAGCACAGGGCTCAGCAACACCAGCCCCCAACTGCAGGGCTYGCTCGGATATTGGAAACACATGTTCACTGGAGAGAAGGAAAAAAAGCAGCTGAAAATCCCCACAATTGCTGCTGGGCGGCGGGTGAGAGAAAGCAGAGCGTGGCTGGAGAGGCTCCGCCRGGGGACATGGCAGAGGGGCTCCACATCCCTGCCTGGTACCCAGCACTCCCCTCCTCCCTGCAGGCCACAAGCATCTGATGTGCTTTTTAAGGGTTAAAAAGCCAGAGCAGTGAGGAAAAGCTGGGGCACAGCTAAAGCTGCAGGTCAGACCKGCAGATCCAGGCTGAGATAAGTGGGACCGACACGTTAGACTGGCCTAAAAACGTCACCTCCCTTTGAAACCTCCTCTGCTTTATTGCACTCAGCCATAAATGTTTCGTCAGCCCCTCTGCTCCCGATGGGTTACACAAGAGGAGCATAACTGGCCCATGCAGTCATTTTATCCCAGGGAAAGATGCATTTTTGGTCTACCCACTGACAGAAGCAAAACAAAGTCCTTTCTATTGGAATGAAATCTCCACATGGGGAAGTGGAAAAGGCTGACATGAATGCAGTGCTGGAGGCTTAAGTTTACTTTTGAAAACAGACCCAAAAACATCCCTGGCACAGGCAGAGCTAGCAGTGGAAGGAATTGACACAAATCAAAAGGAAACTTAGGTCTTGTTTCATGTTGTGATGCTTTAAGTCACATTTTTCAAGACATTTTAAGCACCCCAGATTTTCAGGGTGGGCTGTGTGCCTARGAGGGGGGAATAAAAAACAGAAAAGGAAAAAAAAAAGTAGAGTAAGATCTGGGCCTTTTGATGTTGTCACTTGAGAAGTGCCAGAGCCAGGAGAGCTCTGGGCTGAATAAACAGCATCCCACTTGTAGACTCATCAAACAACCTACAAAATATCCTTACAGGGTGAGGGAGTTTGCTGCCTTGGAAGCACAAGGGCAATGGATTCTCGCCTTGCAATGTCAGGGGCAAAGAAAAAGAAAAATTAATGTTCTGCTTGCAAAAGCAGCTTATCCATCCAATTTGAGACCTGGTGTCCATCCTYGGTCGAGCAAGCCAGGTGACAAGAGCAATGCAAATGGCTCCCTGGGGCTCAGAGAGGATGTCATGGCCCTTCAGAAGAGGAAACACCACATTTCTGTGGGGTACAGCAGCTCTGCTTTGTTATTGCACGGGCTCCAGATGATACAGCCCTGAAGAGGATGGCTTCAAAATGTCCTTGAGCTCTCAAGCCCAAAAACCACAGGAGAATCCCAGGCAGAACTGCACTGCTGGCTGAGCTGCCCTGCTGGGGCAGAGGAGAGGGAAGGGAGAGGACTGGCAGGGACAGGGACAGGGGGTACGTACGAGTGGCCCGTGGCTGGGATGAAATAAATACAGCAGTGCACCCGCGTGTCGGGGATCCGCTTCTTGCGGTTGATGTTGATCTCCTCCTGCAGGTACTTCTCGTACTGGTCATTGATGAACTTCATGATGGGCTGCCAGCTGCAGGGAGACAGGAACACAGGATGCTGGGGTCATGTGAAGGTTCTGGACATCTGGAGCACCCTGCCCCTCCCACGTGTGAAGCAGAGCTCATTGGGCCAGGGACACTCAGCATCTCAAACATCATAAACCTCCCGTGTTCACTGCTCTGCAACTTCACACACTGCTGCAGGAGGGATTTACTGCCTGCTTTAGACAAACAAATGGCTAAGAAGTGCTCCCTTCTCTCCTCCTGGACCCAGCTGTGGAGCAGGACAGGGCTGGACCATGCCCTGGCCCCTTGCACAGTGTCATGGCACAGAGCAGGAGCAGCCTGTGGTGGGCACAGGGTACCTGCCATGGGCCAGCCCAGGGGCCATCCTGCAGAGCCAGATACTGTGCCAGGGATCCTGGGCAGAGCTCAGCCTCCAGAGCCACATGAGCAGGGTCTGGGGACCGGCCCTGCTGGCACACAGCTGCTCCCAGCCACAAACAAAGGTTKTCTGATGGCTGGAACAGCAGGGTGTTTGTGGCTGTCACAGGGAGCATGGCACCGCACTGCCACCACTGCCACAACACCCTCCTTCCTGCTGCCCATGGAGCAGCGGGGCACAGCACCAGCCTGCAGCCCTGGGCACGGCTCAGGATGTGCTGGGTCCCTCCTGCTCTCCCCTGCACCCAGRGCAGAGGGGCTGCTCACCAGTTCTCGTTGTTGATGTGGTCCCCAAAGCCCGGGGTGTCGATGACYGTCAGCTTCATGCGGACCCCCTTCTCCTCAATCTCTGCAAGAGAGAACAGATGGTGTGTGAGGCCAGTGCTCATGGGTGCTCTGGCCAAGCCCACCCTCCCAAAATCAGAAATGAACCTTCTCAGCTCCTCACAGGCACAGATCAAAGGGATCCAGCCCCATATCCACCCTGAAATGGCCATCTCACTGGTTCCCTTCCAACATAATTAACTCAGTGTTGATGAAAAAAGAAAAATTAGACATTTTCTCAGCCCATCTCTGGATGGTAGAAGCCCATGGAGAGAGATGAGAGTAGAGGTTAATGGAAATCCACAGCCCTGTGAGTCCCCAGAGACACAGGGCAGAGCAGGACCTAAAGCAAACACAGCAGGGGGGACCCGCAGAGCCTCACCGTGAGTGATGGATTTGATCTCAATGGTCTTGGGGATGCGCTCCTCAGAAGTTGGCTGCACAGATTTCCGGCTGATCTTGGATTTGAAGAGGGTGTTGATTAACGTGGATTTCCCCAAGCCGCTCTGCCCTGGAAGAGAGCAGGACAGCCCACGGTCAGCACTCCCTCATTTCTGTGCTGTCAGGGGCCAGGGGATGGTGCTGCTGACAGGCTCAGCCTGCACCGGATCTGCAGCAGGGACAGAGGGAGGGATGAGGAGCAGCTGCTGCCCTGCAGCTCCCCCTGAACAAGGGAGCTCGAGTCCAGCCCAGCCAGGAGGAGGCTGCAGGGAGCAAAGCCCTCCCTGGCTCCAAAGCTTGCCCAAGGGCTGCTTCCCTCCACCCAGGCAAAATCCCAGCCACCCCAAGGACAGGCAGGCAGAGCTGGGGATGTTTAAAGGCTGTGGTGGTGTTCAGCAGGGCATGGGCACCTGGGARCCCCGGGAAGGAGTATCCCAACTGTGCCTTCGCTCTCCTGCAGCCTCCTCTGCTCCTCCAGATCCACAGGGAAGGCTTTGCAGCAGTTGGCAAGCCTTTATCTGGGCAGGACTAACAACAGCAACAACCCCACAAAGCTCAGCCCTGCTGCATCTGCCGCTGCTTCCCTGCTGGACCTGCTGTGCAATCGGCCCAGCTGGCTGCACAGACACAGCTCCACGCCAGGAGCTGCTCTGAATCCCACAAACAACACCCCAGGAAGCACGAGAGATTCCACAACCTTAGCAAAACAGCTTTCAGAGAAGCATTTTCATGCTTCATATCCCAGAGCTGATGCTGATCTGCATGGAAAGGACACGAGCAGCTCTTGGCTCTCCAGGAACAGCTGTCCCACGAGCTTGGAGAACAATTTTTCCAGAGTAAAGAAATGAGAACAGCTCTTCAAAACACACAGAGCAGGTATTTAGTGCTCTCTGCRAACACTGCAGAGATCCTGGGGACCATGGGGACCCCACTGGCCCTGTTCTGCCAAGATATGTTACAGCCAATTATCATGGCAATGCCACCAGCATGTCCCTTGTCCCACTGAGTGTCCCTAAACACAGTCAGCAAGGGTTTCACCCACATCCTTCAGGGTTCTGACCCATCCAGGCTGCCAAAACCAACAGCAGGGCCAACCAGCACTGGGCATCACCTCCTGGCATCACCCCACTCCCGGAGCAAACAGCAATTTTAGAGCTGAGTTTGCAGCATCACCARTGGCTGCAATCCAGCACAAGGGAACTCTGCCAGCCACTGCCACTGCTGAGCTGTAGGAAACACACGGAGCAGCCTGGGGCAGGGGCTCCTGAGCCTCTGCTGCCTAAAAACACAGGGCCAGGCACAAACGGGGCTGGAGCTGGACACACAGAGCCAAAAGAGCTCTGACTGCACCACTGCTCACCGGGAAATGGAGCACTGGGGAGAGGGGAGAGAGGGGGGCACAGAGGGGAGAGGGGAAAGAGAGGGAGCAAACT